AAAGACAGAAAACATTAAAGGAAATGAACTGACATGAACGATCGCGTGTTAAATTAGTTTTTGAGGTGGCGACACCTGATTGTTACTGTGGCCGTGCTCAGGAGGCAGATCTACCGACCGCGAAAACAGCTGAGCGCTCCCTGCTGCGATCTGTGCGTCGGAGGACAAGTTGATGCGCCCCACTCCACAGCAGCGATACACATCAGGCGCAAATAAAAGACAGAAAACACTAAAGGAAATGAACCGACATGAACGATCGCGTGTCAGTACCTACGGTCTGGCACTTGAGTTTTACCCCCAAAAAGAGAATGTGATCATACGATAATTCAATAGGGAGCGTGGTTTCACAGACGCGGAAGTGATAGCGTCGGTGCTCTAGGAAACCCCCGAGCGTTCGAGCGTCAACGAAGTGACACGGAAATGCCGGGCTTTCCAGAAGTAAGTAAGATAACTTACTATGAGCTGATAGTTCGTTGGATTGATCGGTAGGTTGGAAACTCTGATCGTGAATCTGAAGAAACGATGACTGAGTGGTGAGCTGGAAAGGCGACTTCCGTTTATAGCCGCGGTTTGTGACGTAGGTGCGACGTGAAGGGAATCCCCGCGAGGGGCATGCTGGGAGTCCCTACTTCGCGGATTTTCACCTATCGCGGCCAGGTCTGGAACGCATCTACCGCGGAGGGATTGCTGTAGTTCATACACCCCCTACTGCTGCTCCCCAGAGTGTTCTGCAGCATAATCAGCACGTTCTCTTTGAACTTGATAGTGTAATGACCTGGCTGGGGTTGTAAGCCAGGTGCATTCTGGGTATTGTGTTATATGTGTTTCCTATCATTCTGCTAGTTCCTATGTGCTGATTTGCGTGTTGTGTGAGTGTTATGTAAGCCACAGGGAAGGTGATGTGTGTTCTGTGGAGTGGGTTGAATTAGCATGGTTAACTGACATCGTGACTCTGTGTGGTAGGAGCGTGATAGAGGATCGTGTCTGTAGCGTTACAAAGCGTTGAAGAAAAGGCCTAAAAAAGGTCTGCGTGAACTTCTATTGCCTTCTGCTGGTTGATTTGGGGACTATAACCCTGCCGCAGGGACCTCGTACTTGCTTGTTACCACATGTCGCTGACTTAGACACCGGCCAGAATTGGAGACCCGGCCTTTAATTGAATACCGGCCTGTATTAGAGGATTTACGGTAAGTCATTTCAGTAATTACATATATTTATAATGAACCATGATGGTTATTTATTAACCTTGTAATAACAGAAAAAATAGTTTATTAAAAATGATTATTTTGAATCTTGAAGTGTTCTTCATCTTGCAGAGGAACAGCAGACAGATTAAAGATGATTTATGTCTGCTGTGATGGATAATCTGTGGGACAGAAGTTCAGCCAGCACAGCGTGACCTAGCTGGGGAAGTGTGACCTTTGGGTCACAAAATGAGGCCATTCATGTCGCTACACAGTGAATCATTCATCCATTCACACAATGATGGTGATGAGCTACGATGTAGCCACAGCTGCTCTGGGGCGCACCGACAGAGGCGAGGCTGCCGAGCACAGGCGCCAACGGTCCCTCCGACCACCATCAGCAGACAAGGTGGGTTAAGTGCCTTGCCCAAGGACACAACAGCATAATTCTCTGTCCAGAGTCGGGGTCAGACCTGCAACCTTCTGATTACTGGACAACCCACTGTACCTCCTGAGCTGCTGCTGCAGGATAGACTCTGCTGTACCATGAGGGTTTAAAGAGCCTCGTCTGTTCTGTTGTCCCTTCAGGTAGGAAACACACACACACACACACACACGGACTCCTGATAGTCAGCCACGTTTACCTTCTGAACACCATTCTCATCCAGCTGCTGCCAAAAGAGCTTCACCCCAGCCTGGGATACACAGGTGCTGCTGCTGTAAACATGCATGAGTCCAGCAGGTCAGCAGTAATAACTTCCCCCTGACAGCTGCTTCAGGCTCAGTCGGGGTATTTTCTCTCTCCGGTCCGAAGATCGAGCTAAAAATGAGAAGCAAGCAAAACAGAAACGAGCGGAGATGTTCTGACAACTATGGGATGGTCTGGTCTTCGCTCCAGTAATAAAAGACCTTTCAACCCTGTGCTTGTGTGGGTCAGCATGTCAAAGATCAGCTCAACGTTGTCATGGGAACAGCATCAATGACAGTAAGAGGTCTGATTAAACCTGTTACACAGATGAGATGAAGTCTTTAAATAAATCCCTCACTTGTCTTCCTAACCGCTTGTCCTCAGCTGGCTCGTGGGGGTCAAAGTCCATCAGGGGGACACCGTGGACAGGTCACCTGTCCAACACAGGGGCACACCTAAGGACAGTAGTCCTGTTTCTGTGGGAAACCGGAGAAACCCACACATTCATGGGCTGCAGCAAGGATTCAAACCTGCAACCTCCTGCTGATAAAAACAACTATCATTAAGATTTCAATGAAATTTCTCCATTTTTCTTTTTCAACAGGGGCATCACCAACTGTAAGGAGTAGAAACATAAATGTTAGTAAAGAATTTGAGAGCACCAAACAGGTCTAGGCACTGACACGTGCTGTGGGGGACAGGAGACCTGTCACTCAGCGGGCTCTCCAGATGTTTTAGTCCGGTTCCTGTACCAAACACAGCGTACAGCTGGGTGCAAACACAAGGTTAACGCGGGGTTTGTATGCGTGTCTGACTCGTCTGAATTCTGCCTCCGAGTGAGGGACCCACCCTCTCTTGGCTGCTCTTCTCAGTGTTTCCAGTCACCCGGATGCTCAGCCATGCAGGGCTTTCTGTGCGTGCACTTCCATGGCCTTTCAGGTATTGTGTAACGGTCTTTAACTGGACACCAGCGGGACACCGACAGCTGACTCGCTGATGGTACTGATGAGATAAGGAGCCTTTGTCCCCGTCTTTACCGTAGGCAAGTTTTTTATTTTTTATTTTGTTACTTTCATAGCAGAAGGGGAGGAAAGCCGTCCCACAAGGCTCAGAGAACATCTGTTAGTGAGAGCTGAGAGATCCAGGAGAGCACAACTCCACCGACGCGGGATCCTGCTTTTTACTGCTGAGATAGACACACACACACACACACACACCAAAAGTGAAGTCTGGCACTCGGCTCTATGGAGCCTAATGGTGCCGATTGGGTGAATTTCCTGAGGGAGAAGTGGGACAGACCTGCTGCAGAGTGGGTTAAAAGTGTTTGTGCATGTGGGCCCGTGTACTGACATGGTTGTTGAGCTGTGGATGCTGCAGTAAGGTGACCCACTTATGCAGCACACACAGCCTCTCACCCGCTGGAGACTGTTTGGCCCTGTTTCAGACAGAGAGGTGAAAGATAAGAGCGAAGTTGGTGCCTGGGATGAAGAGCAGGAGTAAGAGCTGAGAGGAAACACGCCATGAGGCGGGAGCCCCGGCACATCCCAGAATAAATAAAATAAAAGGATTGCTCTGTATTATGGAAAACACGTATACGTGAGGTTTTATTTTAGTTTGGACTTCATGACATTCAACACAAAGGCCAGCTGGTGGTGTGCAGAGAGAAGAGAAAATAAAACAATAAAACTATCTATAATTAATGGTTTCTAGCAGCAGAGGCAGTTACCACAGAGCTATTAACTCATAACTTTAGAAAAGCTGCAGACAGTGTAATGGTTATGCAACAGCCCCATCTAGTGGAAGCAAAGAGTAGCTGCATGTTTGTCGGTTTAAATCGGTCTGATTTCCTAATAAACAATAAGTTTGATTATATGTTTAAACTTTATTTGGTAGTGTCCCTGAAACAACACATATTACTAATATAAGACCAGGACTTTCTCACAACAAACCCATGTGGGTTCACAGGGAGACAGGAGTCCTCCTCCTCCATCCTAAACCTGCTCACTAACTAAACATCACTCCTGTGCTGGCCTCGTTACATTGACTCCCTGAAGCTTTTTGGCTAAGTTTAAAGTTCTGTGCTTCTTCCGCTCTCTTTGTGGTGGTGCTCCTCCATAACCCCATCACGAACTCTACGCGCCGCTGACCTGGAGCTACCGACCAGAGGTGATCGGGCTTTTCTCTCTGGAATGAGCTTCCACATGTAAGTTGAACTGTAACCATCGCTGCAGGTCCTAAAGAGTCGTTTAAGATTCATTTTTATTGTTTGGCTTTTACGTGACTTGGTTTTATGCTTTTGTGCTCCTTTTACGTTTTATGTTGCTTTTGTCTCCTTTTTATTGCTCTCTGTTTTATAGCCCCCTCCTTTCGGTTTACAGTCATTAGCATCCATGCTACTAGCATCAGCGGTCTCTCCTCTGCCTCGGACAAACTGAGAACACTCCTCTTACTCAGCGCTGACTTTACTCAGCAGTTAGCTGACCTTGAAGCCCAGAGATGGATTTGAACAGCTCAGTAATCTGCTGCTGACAGAGAAAGCACACCAACCAACTTCCACCCAGATGATCAAACTCCAGTTTAGCTCCACCAGAAGGACTCTGGAGCTGCTGTAGTGTTTATCTCTCCTCCCTGACACACTGACCCACAGCGTGGTCCAGATGCTCAGATGTTCTCCATGTTCAGCAGCACTAACCTGTGTGAGCACCTGCTGTCTGTGATGAAGATGAACAGAACACCTCAGGTGTGTGGCTGGAACAGGTGAGCATCACAGTAAATCAGAGTGGAGCAAACTGGGAATGGATTATTTAGGTTTTATGAACCTTTTCTGCTCCAATGCATGAAAGTTAATAGGTGAGATTTTGCATTTTCATTAGAGAATTACTATTTTTTGGTTTTTGTTGTTGACCTGTAAAAAATATTGAACCTACTTTAAAACAGGAACTGGAAAGGCTACAGATAAATGAGTAGAATAGAAAATCCCTGTATTGTCCCTCAGTGGGGAAAGCTCAGTGTGACAGCAGCAATAACGTTCATTACAGGAGCAGAAAAGGAGTAAAAATAAACAAGAAGACAACATTAAATAGAAATAGTTAAAATAATCAAAATATGTTAAAAATGCTGTATATATACATAATTTAAGGAATAAAAAATACACATAAGTAACGAATACCACTGGTGATGTGTGCTTTAACAAATTTGCTCGTGTTGGTTATTCCACATTCAGTGTTGCTGCAAAAATAAGTTTGTTTCCAAATAAAAAGGTTCAATCATTCAGATCTGTAGTTAAAGGAAACACACATTTAGCGTCACGTTTTTAAAATACTGAGTTTGGCAATGGCCCAGCAACTTCGTCCCAGTCTTTCCCTTGGGTTAGGGTTAGGATAATGTTTCATCTTTGGCCACTAGGTGTCGCCTTCATTAAAAAAATAAAAAGCTCAAACCTGAACTTTTACAAATTCTATCTCCACAAATGCAAGTATAGTAACCAAAAACCTAATTTCAAGCACTATTATAGTGACACTCTATCTTATATAAAATTGATTAGTGGATCACTAAACAACAAAGCTTTAAAAACTATAACTATTTGCACCACCTATAATTTATTGGATGTGTGTAACATTTCTGTAGTGCACCCCCTGGCATATGTTTCATCTTCTTTGTTCAATTTTGTATGCAATTTGTTTGTATACTTATCACCATGTTCAATAAAGTTTTGGGAAAAAAACTGAACTTTTACATTTCAAAATCAAACAGAAGTGCGTTAATTTTGTTCAACTCCTAAAAACTGATTGCATGTGTCCATTACCTTTGATGTTTGCAGACTTTAGTTAATCTATTTCAGTTCCAAACTAACTGGTTAAAAACAGCAGCGTCTCAAATTTACATATTTTTTTCTTGGTGGGAAAATAAAAGATTTTTAGGTGAAACTTACGCTGAAAGGGCCCGTTCCTTATAACTGATCCCGGATCGGACTTCTTCCCGCCATTCCGCTCTCCCAGTAAAAGCTTTTGCGTACAATCTGATCTGAGATCGGCTCTTTATTCTCGTTTCCCGCCATTGACCACGTGATCCCGTCCGGCCTGCCAGGGGGCCGTGTGGAGGGGGAAGATGGCGGCTCAGCTCAGTGGGGAAGACGTTCATTTAAATACCGGCAAAAGCGAATTTCTGCTCTACAACGCCTCCGACGAGGTACGGCTTTACCGGTGTTAGCTTGTCGGTGACTGGAACCGGATGTTGTTAGCCGCGGTTCGCTGGCGCGCGAGGTCACATGTGCTGGTAGCGACACGTGGCTGAAACCGAAGCACCGAGCAGGAAGATGGCTGAGATTCGCTTCACGTTTGAGCTGTTCAGGAATGAACCGCTCCATGAAAGCGTGAATAACGTCGCCATTAATCCTCACATAATGTCTGCCTGCAGAAAACATAAGTGGATGAGTTCCTAGTTAGCACGAGATGTTCTGATAAGCTTCTGGTTTCTGCTTTGAAGCTTCTGACGTGCAGTTGGTTTCCTTCAGAAACGCTACAAGTCCATTAGAACTAGTGCGTTAGTGACTAGTTCGACTAGGTTAACACAGATGGACCGCTCCCGTCTCCTGAACAGCTCAACGCCATCAAACCTCCGCTGTTAAAACCAAGCCGTGTGTTCGTGCACGCGGGTGCTGGCTGTAATAGACTCCCCACCTGTTAGATCAGCTGGGACGGTGTGGTGTCGAAGTCCTCCAGTCCTCTTTTATATCTAGTTTTGTTTTATTGGCTTGACAATCATCTCTGAAATCACGAGTGCTGTTTACTTTGGGTTTTAGCCTAGCTCGGATAGACCCGCGTCCTTTCTCACTTGAAGGTGTTTTAGTTTAAACCACATCTCACCTGGTTAGTGAACGTAAACGTTGGCCTGAGCTACTGCTAACTCCTGCTGGGACAGCATGAATACCACATCCATCCCTTTGGCTTCAGATCCCACCTTCCAAACCAGTTTTCCTCAGGCCTCCTTGCGCTTGTGAACAGGGCTGCACCATTGTAGGAAACCCTGTGTATGCCTTGACAGTGATTAATATTGCGATGACGATATTAGGTGCGATAAATAAAAACTTCACTCGGGAACAAAAATGATCAAAAACAAAGAAATAATAAAATGACTAAAAAAATCATAAAAATTAGAAAATACAAAAGCTGCGAGGAAAGAGGAAAGGAAAATGAACAAGAAGAGGCAATCAGCGTATCCCGGGAAAAGCGGAACAAAGCTTACTCAGGTGTTTGCTAACCATCAAACTTAGGTGCTGGGGGGTGGGGGGGCATCTGACCTATGAGGACCTCCCAAATGGGTGAAGGGCTCCATCTGATTAGTTAAAAAGCATCATGCTTCCATTTGACAGAATGCATTATGGGTAGAAAACATTTGAGCAGACATTCATTGTGATATTTATCTGTTTTTTGCTATATGCGTCTTGCGCATGCTGATATCGCGATAACGATGTATTTGCGATATCCTGTAAGTCTAGTAAGTCTTCTACGTTGTAGGAAGTGTTTGAATTTGGGTCGCGTGGAAGTTAACGGAGTGTTTTCCACCAGCAAAAGGCTGAAATCTGTACGACGCTGCACTTTCTTAATAACGATGTGTGTTTTTGCAGTTGGTCCTTCAGGATGGAGGGGACCTGAACAGTCAGTCGTGTGTGGATCACTCCATCTTAGCCATTTTTGAAGACTCCGGTGTTTGTTCAGAGGTCAGAACAAAGGCGTTACGGCTGCTGGTTTATTGTTGGAGTCACACTTGCTAAAGTTCTCAGTGACGGCCTCTTCAGGCATTTACAGATGAGTGGCTCAAGTTTGCCTCCGTTTTTCTTTTTCAGAGCAAGAACAACATGGAGGAAGACAGCGAGACGCTCCTCTCTGCTCTGGCTGAGATGCTGGACCGTGTGGAGGAGGACGGAGACGAGACGTTTTCTCCCTTTGACGTCCTGCCGAACACCGGGCTCATCAGCCAAACGCTGATCAGAGGCGAGGACGTCTCTCAGGTGGGCAGAAATGATGATCAGAATGAAGGGTGTGATCCAGAAATAACTGTGTTTATCTGTTTGGATCACCAGTTAGCCACAAAAGACGTGTCAGACCAAAGTTTTCTTCTTTTTTTCATCTCTTTAGGAACCGTCACCTTCTCAGAGACATCGACCAAAACCCAAAAGTAAAACTGGGCGTAAAAAAGAAAACAAGGTTCTTCCTAAAGCGTTGGAGGCTACAGTGGAAGTCTTCACGTCCACCTCCCTCATTAGCCTCGTAAATCTCATGCACCCCTACTGTTTAAAGCTTCAGGTGGAGAAGGACATACCAGGAAGTAGGCCGTCCCTGTTCTCTCGGGAAGAGGTGTGGAAGTACGAACAGCCCACCGAAGAGAACGACGAGGAGATCCATGTTGTGTCGGAGGATGAGGCGCCTGTAAAAAGGACCGAGGAGGGCGTAAAAGGAGAGAAGAGTAGCTGTCTGAAGGGCGTGTTGCTGAATGGAAACCCGCCCAGAGCCGTGTCCTCCAGAGACAGGAAGAGGGTGAGCTTCGGTCCTGTTCACGTGGCCTCGTTGGATGAGTCAGAGGAAGAAGGACTCGGGGGTGGAAGTGGGCGTGGCACAGGACCAGAACCTCTACAGAGCACAAAAGCAGCAGAAACCCCAGAAGCACTTCAACTCTCATCCCTCGTATCTGAGAGAAACGATGGACAGATTAATAATCAGCAAGACGGAGGAAAGAGAAGCAGGACAAGGGCGAAGTCGCTCAGTCTGCAGGAGTACAGGAAGCTTCGCCAGAGCCGCAGACCCTTGGTGGAGCAGCGGGGGGACCACACCACCAGGTGGCCCTCTATCACAGAGTCCCCCAGGGAGCTGACCCCCATCCTCTGTTTTCAGGGTCAGAATCAGAACTTCACTGACCCAAACCTTCATCAACCTTCGGTCCACTGTGACTGTCCACCACACCGCCCTAGTCCCATCTCATCTCACCAATCACACACCAGATTAAAAAGCTCAAGAACCGAATCCAAAATCATCTCGCCTACGAGTCCACTGCTAGAGGACACGACCACCCCAAACGTCACTGTGCTAGAAGCCATTAGCACTGATCCTCCAAACCCCGTCCTCCTCCCTCTGCCTGTTCCTCGCACACCCCCTAACCCCCCACCACAGTCCAGATCGGGGACAGGATTACAGCCGCGCTCCAGGCGGCGACGAGGTCAGAATGCACAGACACCGGGCGCTCCGTCAGAGCCAAAGCCACATCTGTCGTCTCCAGACGAAGATCTAGGGCTGGACGACGCCGCTCTGCCTCAGGAAGTCAAAGCCACCAAAACACCTCCAGATGGTTCCTCTGCATCTCCACCTCAAACCCCAAACTGCAACAGAAATTCAGAGTCCAGTCTGAGAGGAACCAACAGAGACGAGCTGCCACCCAACAGTCCAGTTCAATCTAGAACGGGTCCTGCACCACCACCTGTGGAGCTAAAGGAGGAGGCGCAGCAAGAACGGTCGTCTCCTCAAACGGACCCCAGAGAGCCGAGGGTTGCAGTGGCATCAGGTGATGATGTAGCGTTGTTCAGGAATAACGACGCAGACACAGGAGCTTTAGTTTCAGCAGAGAGCCTGCCTCTGACGGGACGAACGGAACGTTTAGAGCAGCGTTCACTCACAGAGGCGGTCCGCGTGCGTTAGCGAGGTTAGCCCAAAGACCGAAATACGGTTAAAACGCACATCCAGGTAAATACACACATCCAGGTAAATACATATCAAGGTAAATACACACATCCAGGTAAATACACACATCCAGGTAAATACACACATCCAGGTAAATACGCACGTCCAGGTAAATACACACATCAAGGTAAATATACACATCAAGGTAAATACACACATCCAGGTAAATACACACATCAAGGTAAATACACACATCCAGGTAAATACACACATCAAGGTAAATATACACATCAAGGTAAATACACACATCCAGGTAAATACACACATCCAGGTAAATACACACATCCAGGTAAATACACACATCAAGGTAAATATACACATCAAGGTAAATACACACATCCAGGTAAATACACACATCAAGGTAAATACGCACGTCCAGGTAAATACACACATCAAGGTAAATACACACATCCAGGTAAATACAGACATCCAGGTAAATACACACATCAAGGTAAATACACACATCCAGGTAAATGCACACATCAAGGTAAATACGCACGTCCAGGTAAATACACACATCAAGGTAAATACACACATCCAGGTAAATACAGACATCCAGGTAAATACACACATCCAGGTAAATACACACATCAAGGTAAATACACACATCAAGGTAAATACACACATCAAGGTAAATACACACATCCAGGTAAATGCACACATCCAGGTAAATACACACATCAAGGTAAATACACACATCCAGGTAAATATACACATCCAGGTAAATACGCACATCCAGGTAAATACGCACGTCCAGGTAAATACACACATCAAGGTAAATACACACATCAAGGTAAATGCACACATCCAGGTAAATACACACATCAAGGTAAATACACACGTCCAGGTAAATACACACATCCAGGTAAATACACACGTCCAGGTAAATACACACATCCAGGTAAATACACACATCAAGGTAAATACACACGTCCAGGTAAATACACACGTCCAGGTGAATACACACATCCAGGTAAATACACACATCCAGGTAAATACACACATCAAGGTAAATACACACATCCATGTAAATACACACATCCAGGTAAATACACACATCCAGGTAAATACACACATCCAGGTAAATACACAAATCAAGGTAAATACACACATCCAGGTAAATACACACATCCAGGTAAATACACACATCCAGGTAAATACACACATGCAGGTAAATACACACATGCAGGTAAATACACACATCCAGGTAAATACACACATCCAGGTAAATACACACATGCAGGTAAATACACACATGCAGGTAAATACACACATCCAGGTAAATACGCACATCCAGGTAAATACACACATCCAGGTAAATACACACATCCAGGTAAATACACACGTCCAGGTAAATACACACGTCCAGGTAAATACACACATCCAGGTAAATACACACATCCAGGTAAATACACACATCAAGGTAAATACACACATCCAGGTAAATACAGACATCCAGGTAAATACACACATCAAGGTAAATACACACATCAAGGTAAATACACACATCCAGGTAAATACACACATCCAGGTAAATACACACGTCCAGGTTTAAGAAGGGTGAGCAGTTACAGCGCAGAAGGTGCAGCATAAGAAACACCATCCAGAGGCTGATGAACACATGAATGTTTTCATGTAACAGTTACTAGAGATGAGGAAGTTTTAGAGCTTTATTCTAAGTAAAGGTAAACAACAACAGGTGAACTAAAACAACAAACCCTTCAGCAGCTATAATCGTTCCTCTGCTCTGCCAGGAATCGAAGCTCCGGATCCGACCGGCCTGCTGGAGCAGTTCGAGGAGACACAAGGTGAGCCGACATTTAATAAAAACCGACATCAGGCTTCTAACTTCTCTGTGTGGTTGCAGCTAAAGAGCACGAGGCTCCTCGGGTCGAGTCCGGACTTGGTACTGCTTCCTCGCCTTCAAACCAACAAACAGACGTTCTGGTAGAGCCGAACAAACCTGGAGGACCGGAGAGGACTTCCAGGTCTCCGCTGAAATGTCCCGCAGCTCCAAGTGACTCGAGGACTCTGTTAGATGTCCGAACGCTGGAGCCCGTGGACATCCCAGATCCCGTCCGGACTGAAGTCGTTCAGAGTTCTCAACGAGATGAGCCCACAAGACGTAACGGTCCTCCATCCAAGTCCGTTCAGGTCATTGAGCCACGTCCTCTCCCGTCTAAGAGGATCCACACAGGTCCAGCAGAGGCTCCTGCCCCCCGCACATTTTCACACTTAATCTTTGATCACGATTACTGCGGGTCGGCCGACCTCCCCCCTGGATCTCGGTGCAGCCAAACATCTGAACCCTCCACGGAGCAGCAGCAGGAGTCTGTTGTGCTGCTACACTCGGAAAAACCCTGGGTCGGTCCTGAAGCTCTGCAGCTTTCAGAGGGAGCGGTGACGGAGGGCGTTGGTGTCGACAACATCCAGTTCCTCCCTACACCTCCACCCAGCCCTCCCGTCAGGGGCCGGGAAAAGAGGAGGTATCGGAGGAGATCTCCAGACTCCAGCTCCTCCTCATCCTGCAGCAGCTGTGGTTGTTGTTCTCCGAAGAGACGAAGGTGCTCCTCCGCTGTTGTTTGTTTTTATTCAAGCGTTTTGTTTACAGTTTTCACCGCCACTTTGTCTCGGCCCACAGGATCCACCGCAGGCACTCGGGGAGCAGTTCCTGTTTGTCGTCTCCCTCTTCCCGTGTCTCCCGCTCCGCTCCTCCGCTCTGCAGTTTGTCTTTTTCCAGATCCACTTACAGCAGGTCCAGGTCCCGGTCCTGGTCCAGGTCCCCCTCACAGACCCGCTCACCGTCTCCAGCGAGTCGTCGTAGAAGGTGGAGGGAAGTGCGCAGGTCGGTTACCTGTCTTTGTCGAGTTCAGCTGATCATTTCAGTCAGCCGTGCAAGTTGTTGACACAACGTTTTCCATCTTCCTCTTTCTGCTCCTGCAGCAGCAGCAGGGAGTCCCGGAGGCTCCAGAGGGAGCAGGAGGTCCGGATTCAGAAACTTAAAGCCATAGTGAGTAAACTTTGTGGAACGTCAGCTGTTCTCCAGCTCCTCCCTTCAGCTGGCGGTGATGGTTTCCATCGTTTTGACAGGATGAGCGCAGAGTGGTGTACGTGGGCCGCATTCGTAGAACAATGACACACAGTGAACTTCAGGAGCGCTTTTCTCAGTTCGGGGAGGTGGAGTGTGTGTCGCTCCACTTCAGGGATCGAGGGTGAGTACGCTCGGTGATCGTTCCGTCTTGGTCCAGCTTCTTCTGGATCCAGGCATCAAAGGTGTTGTTCACTGAAAACCACGTTTTAATGATTGTGTCTGATTCTAACGGGTGACTGAGATTTTCATGTAGCTTGAGCATGAAATAGTCTCCTACACCTGTCTCCTGCAGTAGCTTCAGATAGAAGATAGTCTCCTACACCTATCTCCTGCAGTAGCTTCTGATGGAAGATAAGTCTCCTACACCTATGTCCTGCAATAGCTTCTGATGGAAAATAGTCTCCTACACCTATCTCCTGCAGTAGCTTCTGATGGAAAATAGTCTCCTACACCTATCTCCTGCAGTAGCTTCTGATAGAAAATAGTCTCCTACACCTATCTCCTGCAGTAGCTTCTGATAGAAAATTGTCTCCTACACCTATCTCCTGCAGTAGCTTCTGATAGAAGATAGTCTCCTACACCTATCTCCTGCAGTAGCTTCTGATGGAAGATAAGTCTCCTACACCTATCCTGCAGTAGCTTCTGATGGAAGATAGTCTCCTACACCTATCTCCTGCAGTAGCTTCTGATAGAAAATAGTCTCCTACACCTATCTCCTGCAGTAGCTTCTGATAGAAAATTGTCTCCTACACCTATCTCCTGCAGTAGCTTCTGATAGAAGATAGTCTCCTACACCTATCTCCTGCAGTAGCTTCTGATAGAAAACAGTCTCCTACACCTATCTCCTGCAGTAGCTTCTGATAGAAAATTGTCTCCTACACCTATCTCCTGCAGTAGCTTCTGATAGAAGATAGTCTCCTACACCTATCTCCTGCAGTAGCTTCTGATGGAAGATAAGTCTCCTACACCTATCCTGCAGTAGCTTCTGATGGAAGATAGTCTCCTACACCTATCTCCTGCAGTAGCTTCTGATGGAAGATAGTCTCCTACACCTATCTCCTGCAATAGCTTCTGATAGAAGATAGTCTCCTACACCTATCTCCTGCAGTAGCTTCTGAAAGTTTCCTACACCTATCTCCTGCAGTAGCTTCTGAAAGTTTCCTACACCTATCTCCTGCAGTAGCTTCTGATAGTCTCCTACACTTATCTCCTGCAGTAGCTTCAGATAGAAGATAGTCTCCTACACCTATGTCCTGCAGTAGCTTCTGATGGAAGATAGTCTCCTACACCTATCTCCTGCAGTAGCTTCTGATGGTGAAACTCTAGGATAGAAGTTTAGATGTGTTGAAGAAACAAGTGAACCGCTCCTTTAAAGTCTGCTCTAATCTACTCCTACAGCGACCACTATGCCTTTGTCACGTTCTACAACATGAAGGATGCTTTTGCAGCCATCGATAATGGAGGCAAACTACGGAAGCCCGACGAGCTTCCGTTTGACATCTGCTTCGGTGGACGGAGGCAGTTCTGCAGCTCGAACTACGCCGACCTTGGTGAGAAATGAATTTCCTCCCATAATCCAGGAGGAGATCAATTAAAATGCGTTAATCTGCCTGAATGTTGGTTTTTTTCAGACGCTAACAGAGACGCAGAGCCGTCGCCGCCGTGCAGAAGCAGGTTTGAAGACCTGGACTTTGATTTGCTGCTGAAACAGGCCCAGAGAGGCCTGAAGAGGTAGCAGGCTGTGCAGAACAACCTCCCCGCTCCTCACATCCACGTCCAACGTTTAAAGCTGTTACTGCTGAGTTCGGCGCACGTGCACGCTTGCTCTCTACGCTTGCGGTTTTTGAGGTGCTAAGAAAACGTTTGTAGTACTTTTTAAAGGAGAGTTTTGTTACAGCCCGTTGCACTGATGTAGTTTTGTAAAGAACAATAAACCATTTATTGTTTTTGCTGCTTTTTACTTTAATCTGAACATTTTAAACTCTCTTGGCTTTTTTCTGCCGCTGAGGGATTTGGATTTTGGTCTGCGTTTGTAGCTCCTTTTAGGGTTCTACAGCCCCCTAAGGCCCTTCACAACACAATCAGTCATTCATCCATTCACACATGAAGCCACTGCTGCCCTGGGGGTCGCTGACAGGCCGGGCTGCTGAACACAGGCACCATCAGCAGGCGAGGCAGCCTTCTCTGTCTGGAGCCGGGATCAACCCGCTCTACCTCCAGAGCTGCTTTCGTCATTCTCACGTATCAACTGCATATCGGAGATCAAGTCTTGGTTTTCCTTTTACTGAACTCAGATGAAACCAAAGTCCTCATCGGGGAGGCTGGAACCGTCTCGTCACCTACCGAGAAAGCCACGGCTTCCTGTCTGGGTCAAATTAAAAGCCTTGGTGTCGTTCTAGACCGTACCGTGTCCTGTTCCTATATCAGTGCAGTCACCCGTACGGCCTACTACCATCTACGAAGTATTAATCGCCTCTGTCCATCACTATAAACGCGCCACCGCGTTAGTCGGCAGTCTGGTCACTTCTCGCCTGGATTATTGTGGTCCGCCTCAGAAGACTACATGAACTTCAGCTGATTCAAAGCTCTGCAGCCCGTATTATCACCAAAACACCTTCATCTGCTCACATCGCCCATTATTCAGCAGCTTCATTGGCTCCCAATAAAGTTCAGCATCATTTACAAATGACTGCTTCTTACATCTAAGGCCATTCATACCCTCGCCCCTCATATCTCCTACAAACATCTACACCCTCAGATTCTGTCAACTGTCCACTGCTCGACTGGTCTCCATGGGATCTGCACCATCCCTGTGGAACACCACATCGCTCCACCTCTTTAAATCTGTAATCAATTCTGATTCATTTGTTTTCTGTTCTTGCATCAGTTTTAATCTTTTTAATTCTCTTGTTTGTAATGCACCTTGAGTTTTTAGAAAGGTGCCTCGTATAAATGTTATTTTAGAAAAGAGAGAAAAATGAACGCAGCATTTAGGTCATGCCCAAACCCTAACCACAAGTCTGTTGCAGCTTCCAGGTACCGATGAATTTTAAAAGAACAAGTAAGAAAAGTCTTAACCAGTGAAAACTGGATACTTTTAGACATTTACTGAATCCAATTAGAGCCACAAGGGAATCCTAACTAGTCGCCGCGGGGCAAAAGCTTCACTTAAACAGATGAGATAAGCCTGTAATTTCCATCATATTTACCTCAATTGTGAGACTAATGATTAAAAAAAATCCAGAAAATCACATAGTCTGATTTTAAAGAATTTATTTACAGATTATGGTGGTAAATAATTAAGTGTTTGGTCTAAAGTCCATCGCAGTACTTTGTTTATCCTGTTAATAAGGTCAAACGTGTTCTGTAGTCTCCACAAGGTTTCACACACTGTTGCTGGTATTTTGGCCCAAGAGCTGTGATGCTTTGGGGCTGTTGCTAGGCAACACTGACTTTAACTCCCTCCAGAGATTTCTATGGAGACTGCGTTCAAATCCATTATCGCAAAACGTAAATGGCCACTTATGATATTTGGTCCAAGTTGGGAGGTTTTAAGGTGGAAAGTATCAAATGTATTCATGAGTAATGGGCTCGACACACGGGAGGCGACAAACGACCGCGATCAGCGAAATTTGTCGCTGTCGCTTTTATTACCTGTCACACGGGAGGCGATCCGCGGCAGCGGCCAGCGGCAAAGCCGTCTACGCGTTCTGTTCCATGGCGAAATCGAAACTTCCGTTGTTTTGTTTGGCTGTGTCAGGTTGGAGGGAATTAAGGTTATTTAAGCGGTTCAGAGTTAATAAAGCGGTAGATATGATGTTTTACAAGGTGCTGCTAGAGTTATGTGAAATCTTACTTCTGATTTTACTATAAAACATAATAATAATCAACTTCTCCTCCATGTTTGCTCGGAGATGTGCGGAGCATCCTGTCCGCTCATTGGTCAGTGAATGAAACCTCCGTTGATTGGTCCTCGTCCGAGCTACAGCGATGAAAAGTTGAAAACGTTTCAACTTTCTGGGATCGCGTCGCTGGGTCGTCCGTGCACGACACGTGCACGAGTGCAAACTTTCACACGCACGTTTTTCGCGTTTCGCTTGGTAGGAGAGAAACCCGCGATTATCGCTTTGTCGCGCATGTCTCATTGAAAATGAATGGAGGAGAGGCGATGTCGCCTCCTGTGTGTCGAGCCCATTATGTCAAAGGCATTCTGGTGAACTGTCCCTTTAAGACGAGTGTTTCAAGAGCGTCATGTGACCTCACTTCAGACATTAGACCTGCGCGGGAGAAAGCAGCATTAAAGCAGCTTTTCGGACCCGGAAGCGCGCAGTCAGCGTAGCTAACCGTGAAGACATGTCGACGTCACCGGCCGCAGGAGGGGGACCCACCCGAGGGCCCGCGCGCTTCATCAGCGGGGTGGTGGAAGGTGAGCAAACTGGTGACCACTGGTCCTGGAGCTGTGCAGACTTGACCCTATAGGGCCACCGTCCTACAGGCGCACCTGATCGGAGCCAGCAGGGTTCCTGCGGGACAGTGGCCCTCAGGGACCAGCAGGACTGCTCCAGATGATTCATGCGTGGGAACATCTGTCTGTGTGGACGTTTCTGCTCAGGCTGACTTCTGTTTGCAGGGTTTTATGGGCGACCATGGACCATGGAGCAAAGAACAGAGCTGTTTCAGAGGTTCGTGTCCAGGAACCACTGCAGGAACATTAGATCCAAGGAGATGAGCTTTGTCTGGGCTAGGGTAGGGCAGGTTCACGTATTAACCACAGATGTAGGGTTTGCATTTCTGTGTCCACGTTTGGATTAAAGTCTGGACTAAACCAATAAACATTTGCTCTTCTTCTGCAGCGTAAAGAAATGTTTTAAAGGTTTACACGCTGTTGTATTTTTCTGTAACTTACTTTATTTATTTAACCTCATTTATCCAGATGAGTGGACTGAGACTCACTGGCCCAGAGGCAGCACCAGCATAGACGCCGTTAGCCTTGCACCGAAGAACACAGATGAGATGAAAACATACATTATTAGTTTCTTTAATTTGCTAAAGACGTCAGATTCAAGGGACATTAAGTGAAGCTTTAGTTCCACGTCCGGTTAGCACTGACAGACACCATATTTGTGTTCTCCAGGGAGCAGAAGTGGGGTTTGAACACGTACCTTTATGCCCCTAAAGATGACTACAAACACAGGATGTACTGGAGAGAGCTGTACTCCCCCAAGGAGGCAGGTGCGTGACACACCTGTGCTGCTCAGAGCAGATCAACCAGCAGGTTCAGGTCTTCCTCAGACGAACTCCGATTTAAAACTGAGCTAAACGTTAATGCTTTTCTTATGGCCTTGAAAATTTCTCTTATTTGATGTTATTTTCTATAAACATTATTTTTCTTAAAACTAAACATTTGTTTGACTTTAAGGTAAAAATTATAGTTTTTTTTAAATAATAAAATACGTGAGTATTGAAGCTTGTTTTAGCTTAAAAAGCTTCAAAAAACTCACCTGTTCAGGCTGGCTTTGGTTTGACCTCCTCTTCATGATGAAGACTTCATCATCTTCTTACTCACTAGCTGCTCTTCATTCTGCTGGTTCTGCCACTTCTGGGTCCTGTGGATACTTTTTTCTTTCTCATGCTTGTTTGTCACGTTTTTTTTATCTTTGCCATGATGTTATTTACGTTTTTTTTATTTCTTCTTGTGAAGTGGCTCGTGATTTTTATCTGAGAGGCACTCTCCTCCTTTTGTGTGGTGCAGTTCCAACTGTGACCTCTAGGGGCTGCAGTTTTTACCTCCATTCTGACTAAAGACAGAATTCAATTCAATTCAAAGATACTATTAATCCCAGAGGGAAATTAGAGTTTCAGTACACACAATTCTGAGATCAGACATACATACATAGAAACATGACAAAAATTGGTGACTGTGGTCATTCGCAACCCGAGTCGCGCTACCTTAACGGAGATCAGAGGGGTTACATGCGTATTGGGTCAGGTGGAGGGAAAAAAAGGCACTTCAGAGTTACCCTCCACAGGGAGGGCAGCTTTGCTCTGCAAAAAACACTTCAGACAGAAATGCAACAGACTTCAGACATTACACAACATAAGTGTCCACTAGGTGGGGCGGTAAGGTTTGGGACTCTCCACACGTCAGTGCATGCAGCCGCGATAAGCAGCGCTCGTCACCTCCGTTTGGACAGGGGGAGGTCATTGGATTTAGAGGGCGCAGTGACTGCTGGAATGATTCAGCGGCCTTCACAGCTCGTAGTCCTGCCCAGGCTGGGATAGGTAGACAGAGTTGCCATGGCAACAGCAGCATTCCACATTTCTTCTGAGGGGGTATTCATTTCAGCCTCACAGGCTCAAGGGCACCAGATTCAGATAAGAAATTGTTTTGGGGCCAGGCAGAGCTAATTTCCTCTCTGTCTTAAAGTTCCGCTGGTCCTCAACCTCTCAAAATCCCAATAACGGCGTAAATTAATCTATCCCAATCCGTGCTGATTCGTCCACTCGCTCCTTGACGGCATCCATCTTTTGTGCCAACGCATGAATCTCGGCCAAAGTTCCAAGCTTACGGCTCATCTCGACAATTATGAGTCTGTGAATTCACAGCGTGGTGCAATCCATCCCTGAGCTCCGGGAGAGCGCCAATATTCCTCGACCGCTCGTTAATTTTCCGGTAAGCCAGGTAACCTCCCAGGCCAAAAAGCAGGAAACCTGACACCAACACCACGAATATCCAGACATCTTCAGAATCCTCTACAGACAGCTGAGATATGCAGATCAGGTTCCGCTGCTTCCAGGAGTCCATGATGTGTCCAGCTGGGTCTGTCCCAGAGGGGCACCCGGGAGCCCCTTCTCCCGTTCTCATCGTTGAGAAAATTTTGTCAATCGCATTGAGTGACCAACTGACCAGGTCCATTTTAGTAATTTCAGTTTCCAGTTTACAGAAAAAATGCTGAAGCGCCGTACACCCAGAGGCAGACAAAGAGCCTTGGGATAAGATGGGGAGGAGAGGAGGAAAAAAGCGTCTGAACTCTCCAAGAGCCGGAAGAAGAAAAAAACGTCACCAGGAGTACAGCATCTGGCCTCAACTGGAGTTTTCCAGTTAAAAGGGACTAGGAAGTTTTGACTTGCTTTTATCGCCCCATTGAGTCCGTTTGTAGAACAGAAAGCAAAACCTATTGTCGCTGTGCGTTCATCTCGGTGTGCAGAACAATCAGAACAAGGAATGTTTTACCTAAAGGGATTTAATTTGTTGACAGTAAGAATGAATCAAAATAAGTTTATTGTTGAAATCCATTATTTCGGATCTTAAATACACCAAACAAATCTGCTCGATGTGATGATTTTATTATCAGCATATTAACAATGTCAGTTATATCATATTTAGGTCCCAAAATCAGTGAAATACTCCTTTATGGTCTCTTAGCAACAGATGTGATGTCAGGGGACTTTGGCAACACCTCCCACATTTTTCTGGGCTCTGATTGGTGCAACACGGACCTTAAAGATGGAGACACACCCTCTATTCTTGAGTTCCAGCCAAAATACTAAATGAACACCTGTTGTGAGGTCAGACCAGATCTCGTAGCAGAACTCTTCCTAGCAGCTTAGAACCTCCTTTTTCAGAACCAAACAACCATTCTTCGCTTTAACCGGCAACAACGGCATCAGACGTAAAACGCCCCGTCAGCAGAAGTCAACCAGAGAGTATCCCAGACCAGCCGGCTGGGTTCAAGGGGCGTACGACTGTCGGATACCCCGAAGTTAAACCACTCGTCGGCCTCACCGAGACGACTTTGCTAAGCAGCTGGATCTCCCAAGAGCTCTCCGCTGGTGCATAGACTCGGCACACCGGTGTTGGATGGGTTACGATTAAATGATAACTAATCAAAACATCCTTATTCAGCTTGTTGGAAGAGCTGAGACCAACATAACGGGAAGGCAAGGAGGGCATTTATCTCTGCCTGTCCCACAAAAAAATCATCTTATCAGAATCTGGTGCCCGTGAGTCTTCGGTCTGCCCCGTAGAGGGATCGTGGACAGATGCTGTGAAACCCCCCCAGCCTGGTTGGACCTGTGACCTGGTTGTCGATGAGTCCTCCACCCGAGACCTCCCTCCCATCTCTGAACAGAAGTGAACGAGCGCACGGACGCTGCCCTGTTAGCATCGTTGTATATCGTACCTCTCTCCTTATGTAAAATAATAATAATGGTTTTGATAGAGCACCTTCTAGGGTTCCACAGCACCCAAAGTGCTTTACAATAATAATGGTATATTAGATTATAGCTACAGGTGCCCTGGGGCACGGAGACGGATCGGCAGATTCAAGACACACCCTGAACTGGACAGGGAGTGCTTACCCTAACCCTGTTGTAGGAAACCGATCAGCTGAGCGTTTCTAAGGTTTATGTGTTGCTCCAAAGTCCTCCTTATCTCCAGAAGGACGGTTCTGTGGTTCTTATCAGTGATGTTACAGATTTAACAGCCTTCATAAAAGCTCATCTTTAACTGGTAGAAACGATCTCGCTGGGTTAGCTGCTGCTGCAGACACTAGTGTTAAAGCACCGAGGACCACTTCCTGTCTGCTCGTATGAAAACAGCTCCTTCAGTAAAACAAACATGGTTTCCCCCCACCAGAACATCTGATCGCCCTGATTTCAGCAGCTGAACAGCACAAAGTTGAGTTCATCTATGCAATCTCTCCCGGTCTGGATATCACGTTCTCCAACCCCAGAGAGGTAGCAGCCCTGAAGAAGAAGTTGGACCAGGTAGGACCAAAGCAGGAGCTATTTTCTCACGGTTTGACTTTTAGGCTTCTCTGCTTGGTGGTTCTTCTAAAGGCTCTCCTCCTTTTTTCTGATCCCACCTGCTGCAGGTGAAGGAGTTTGGCTGCAGGTCTTTCTCGTTGCTCTTTGATGACATCGAGACTGAGATGTGCCCTGCTGATAAGGAGGCTTTCAGCTCCTTCGCCCACGCTCAGGTGTCTGTCACCAATCAGGTGTACCAGCACCTGGGAGAGCCTGAGACCTTCCTCTTCTGTCCCACAGGTCAAAGAGCAGGAGAACATGAAATGCCACCAAATGGACAGAATCCCATTCATCTAAAATATCATGTGAACCCTCAGACTACTGCGCTGCGTTCTGCACCCCCGACGTGTTGCGGTCCTCATATCTACTCACGGTGGGAGAAAATCTCCTTCCTGGCATCGACGTTCTTTGGACCGGTGAGCTTAGGTTTCCCTAAAATCACTGGATGTTTTCCTTTTGCACACATTTTAATATCTGTGCCTTTTTTAGGTCCCAAAGTGGTGTCCCACACAATCTCCGTCCAGTCCATCGAGGAGGTGTCCTCTGTCCTGAGAAGGGCGCCGGTCATATGGGACAACATTCACGCCAACGATTACGACCCCCAAAGAATCTTCCTCGGCCCTTATAAGGTGAGTTGTTGTTCATCTCCACGTTTCTGTTCGTTCTGAAGCGTAAAACCTTGTTGCCTTGTCAGCACCGGCCCACTGATCTGATACCGAAGCTGAGGGGAGTTCTCACTAATCCCAACTGTGAGTTTTACTCCAACTTCGTGGCCATCCACACGTTGGCAACGTGGTGCAAAGCTTCACCTAAAGAGGGACCGAGGGTGGTGGAAACAGGTGAGTGTGTGCAGGTCGTCTCTAACATCACAGGAGGCATCTGTTTGAAGCAGCTCTAGAGTCACCATTTTATATAACAGGAAACTTATCTGAGTCTCTATAAAGCAGACGAAACGGCCCAGGAGCCCCGATAACGAGGACAGCAGTGCTTCAGGAGGTAGAGCGGCTTTTCCTGTAACGGAAGGTTGCAGGTTCGATCCCATCTCCAACCAGAGAGTGCTGCTGTTGTGTCTTTGGGCAAGACACCTGGTGGTGGTTGGAGGGACCGGTGGCAGCTGTGTTCAGCAGCCTCGTGCACCACAGGCCAGCTGTGGCAACATCGTAGCTCATCACCTCCAGTGTGTGAATGTGTGTGTGTGTGAACGGATGAATGAGGCGCTGTAGCTTAAAGCATTTTGGAGTCCTCTGACTCTGAAAGGCGGCTCATTTATCATTTAAATGGCAACCCCATAATAAAGCTCTACAATGGAAAGACCGGTTAGCCCCGCCCAGTCATCCAGGAGTTAATGTTAAATTAGCTGCATGCTGATTGGCCGGTTTACCCGACGGCTCTGTGATGCTGCCTGAGGCTGTAAACTGTACCGACGTGTTCAGGATCCGGATATCTCAGTAAGTTAGTTATGGATTTAGCCAGTTATTCCCGGAACATCCTGGAATGTTCCATAAGAGCTCCAACATTCTTCTGCATTGTTTTCCTCTCATACAACACGCATTGGCTAAGGCTAGAGTTAGCGTTGGCTAAGGCTAGCTTTTGCGTTGGCTAAGGCTAGCTTTTGCGTTGGCTAAGGCTAGCTTTTGCGTTGGCTAAGGCTAGAGATGGCGTTGGCTAAGGCTAGAGTTGGCGTTGGCTAAGGCTAGAGTTGGCGTTGGCTAAGGCTAGAGTTGGCGTTGGCTAAAGCTAGCTTTTGCGTTGGCTAAGGCTAGCTTTTGCGTTGGTTAAGGCAAGAGTTGGCGTTGGCTAAAGCTAGAGTTGGCGTTGGCTAAGGCTAGCGTTAGCATTAGCTAAGCCTAGCATTAGCATTGGCTAAGGCTAGCGTTGTTCTGTCAGCAGTGTTTAGACATGGCGGACGTTGGCGTGGGTTGTGTCATGCTAATTTAGGAGGTGTGTCCACGTTTCTGACGGTTCTAAAATCACCCAGCAGAGGTTCTATGGTGCTGTGGCCCATTTCATCTGGTACTGGAGGTTCTGAACATCAGATGAAGAATTAGATAAAAACTGAATATTTTATAGCAGACAGGCTTTATACTGCACTTTCATGACATCATCTCAAGTTATCTGATGCTGTTGGAGCTTGTTTGGTTCTGATAACACTTTATGATGTCATTCTCTTTAGATAACAGCATTTTTCCCATCAGGAAAACAGATTAGGGATGATATTTAACAGAGTCCAACCAGGATAGGTGTTAGTAACACACTGCAGCTGACTCAAGGAAACGGGAGCGTGCATGACCAGAAATGTTCTGACAGCAGCTCTAAACAATGAAACTGACTCTTGCTTGTTGACTTGAGGACATGAGCGACCAGACTCTACGGATGAATCTTGCTTGATTATCTGGGTTCGGGTTGGCATGAATGACACAAACCTAAATAAAAGTCCAGGATGAAGCGTGCTTGGAGGCTGAAGAAGAGTCTGTGGCGATTTCTGTGACTGAATGGATGAAACATCTCATTTTGAGTCGGACCTTCAGAACGAGCTTGTTGAACGTTAAAATAAATCCTGATTTCTGATAATGCAGATTAATTAATCATTTAATTTTGAATGTTGAGTAAAATGGATAAAAGCTCTAGAGCAGCTCCAACAGCCCTCTGTCTGATGTCCAGCAGCTGGAGAAGAGGAGACGGAGCCCTGCTACAGCCCCCAGAAAGCCCTGACCCTGGCCCTCACCGACTGGCTGCAGGAGTTCATGAGCACCGATCAGCCAGGAGGTAGACCTCCATAAAACCTTATGTGTTTGTTTCAGAAACTAGAGAATTAAAGTCCCAACTGTCTGGATTCAGGTTCTCGTCGTCCAGCTCTCCTCGAGCAAGAGTCTTCAGACGAGGAGCCCATGCAGATGGACGTGTCTGAGAGTCCCTACTGTCCTGGTCCTGGGGAGAACCCGTTGTACACAGCAGAACCTCTGACTCTGGATGACCTGAAGCTGCTTTCTGACCTCTTCTACTTGCCGTACGAGTATGGGGGCATAGCCAGGAACATGCTGGAGGAGCTGCACTGGCTCAAAATCCACAGACAGGCGGCAGCAGAGCAGACGGACAAGGTAATGAGAGTTTGTCCTGTCCAAACGGATTCTTGACTCAAGCTGCGTTTGTCAGACAGAGGAGTGGCGATCCAAGGCGCGGCGGTTCGACAGCAGGTGTGAAGATGTGGTGCAGATGTTCAACCGTCTGTCGAACGCCCCAAACCGCAGCATCCTGTACGACCTCTACAACTACATCTGTGACATCAAGAGCGGCGTCGGTCTGGCACGGGCCTATGTCAAAATGCTGGGTCAGAAAGCCGGTTCTTAATGAAGCATCAGATATGGTCTGCAGACTGAAAACAGGCAGCAGTAATTGTTTTTCTCCGCAGGAGGTCAGGGTCAACCTTCTGCCCTGGTAATGAGTGAAGATCCTGAACCCTGGGGCTTCAGAGGAGGCCTCTCCGGGGAGATCCAGGTAACCAAAGCAAACCGTTATTAAACTAAACCGCTGTAGGCTGCAGCCTGAAACCGTGTGTCTGCAGAGGATGCTGCCAGGACACGGGAACCGGGACCTTTTCAAACACCCTCCCACGACTCCGGTTTACTTCATGCGTGCTTACTGCGACAAGGACAAGGTGAGAAGCCTCAGACGGTCCGTCCCCTTTGGGCGAGAACATGCGTGTAATCGTTTTCCCGTTTCTAGACACAAGTGCAGAAGATCTGGGAGGAGATGCTGAGTGGAGGAAAGGAGCAGAGCCCTCTGATGTTGCAGCTTCCGCTCATCAGTGATTGGTAGGAACGAGTGCGGTCAAAGAACAAGCATTAGCTCCTATTTGCTGGTTTATTGGAAGCATCATGCTGTTAGACCAAAACGCTTTCCTAAGATACTTCTGGGCTGCTTGTCTGCAGCCTGTCGTCGGGCCAAATCTCCCCCTCCCCTGGGTGCGCTTTTGTCCTGGAGGATGAGCTCGGGACTTGTGGTTATGCTCTGGCGCTGACTGACGCCAAAGCAGTTGCTGCAGGGATTCAGGTTCTTGTGTAAAACATCTGATTGTTTCTGTGATACCAGATGACCCAACTCATCATCTTTCCCCCTCAGAGAGATGTGAATGAGTCGCTGTTGAAGGATTTCCCCTCTCTGGTCGTTGTGCAAGTGCTTCCCCGAGTCACTGACCCGACTCCAGCCAAGCGTATGGTGGGTCAGCTGTTGTCCTCCATCAGCAGCAACGGTAGGTCCAGACCTCCGATCAACTGGTTTTGCTCAAACTCATTGAACTCTCAGGTCGAGGTCAGATACTCACCACAGGGGGGCGCTCTAGTCCTTTTAATCCAAAGTAATTTAAAGGTGAAGCTCAGGAGCCTGGCAACCCATCCTATGTATGAGAATCTATAATCTGGCCACGCCCCTTAGACAGCTCAGCCGTGGGGCGGGATCTACGGTTGTCTTTCAGACTGTCTCCACATGCTATTGGACAACGAACAACGTGACAGACTCACAGCTACAGATGTCAGTCAGCGGGGCAGTCCTCTGTACCGTTAAGACCCAAAAACATCCTTTTCCTGATAAACTGAAGTACCGCTATCTGCTCTTGACTCAGAAAAGTCCAAAGCTGTTTCAATTAAGTCGTCGCCATCTTTGTTCTTCTGCTCCATCGCATCATCCCACCCACCAAACTTATCAAACGCTGTGATTGGACCACCACACCCACGGGCCACTGTGATTGGCCCACCACACCCACGGGGCGCTGTGATTGGCCCACCACACCCACTGGGCGCTTTGATTGGCCCACCACACCCACTGGGCGCTTTGATTGGCCCACCACACCCACTGGGCGTTGTGATTGGCCCACCACACCCACGGGGCGCTGTGATTGGCACACCACACCCACGGGGCGCTGTGATTGGCACACCACACCCACTGGGCGCTTTGATTGGCGCACCACACCCACGGGGCGCTGTGATTGGCCCACCACACCCACGGGGCGCTGTGATTGGCCCACCACACCCACTGGGCGCTTTGATTGGCCCACCACACCCACGGGGCGCTGTGATTGGCCCACCACACCCACTGGGCGCTTTGATTGGCCCACCACACCCACGGGGTGCTGTGATTGGCGTCCCACCAGACTGGCCAGAGCTACCGAGGCTTGTATGGAGCATGGCTGGACCGACATGCAGAGTAAATGATTTCACTCCTGCTGCTGTCTGTCTAGATTTCTAGGCTAAACGCTCGGTTAAAGTTGGATTATTAGTTTGCCACCACTCAGTCACTGACAGACGCCATCTTTGTTTGTCCTCCAGGGTCCAGAGGAGCGTTTTGTGAGTTGAGGCGAAGTGATCGAAGGATGCTCGAGTTTTACTCCAAATTCGGCTCCTTCAAACATATACAAATGGACTCTCAGGATATAGTTGTCATGGCAACAAGCCTGTAAACTAGCTTTCCTCAGGTGTGAAATGTTCTGACAACTGAGTAAATGCCTTCTTGAAGAAAAAAAAGTATCTTTTTCTGAATCTTTGAATTTTTAAACACCAACAATAAAAGTGATTATTTCCGATTAAAGCCACGGTGTGTAATATTTTTACTTGTTTACTGTCACATTCACTAACATCCTTTTACATTAACTCTCACTAAATGTTCCCTTTAGCTTGAAATGGTTCCATCAAGGGCGGGGGATGACTCACGTTGTTTACATGTAGCTTCTATTCGGGTTTTGATTGTTTTTAAGGTCAGAATTCTTGTTTCTGAAAAATTTGGAATAACCCGTTCACACACAGTGTTTAAAAGTGTGTGTGTTGAGATTTCTCTGAGGTAAAAAAGATAAGTATTAAAGGGACTTTACGGAGTTTTGAATTTTTATGCTCGCGATTGCCCCCTCAGGCGAAAAGTGTAACGGCAGCTTCAATAGGAGGCTCGTGCACGAGGTGCGCATGCTGTACGTGCACACTCCTTAACGAAAATAACAGCTGAGACGAAGCTCTGTGAAGCTGACAGGGGTCAGCTTCAGAGTTCTTGAGAGCTGACATCCCTTGTGTGTGTGTGTGTGTGTGTGTGTGTGTGTGTGTGTGTGTGTGTGTGTGTGTGTGTGTGTGTGTGTGTGTGTGTGTGTGTGTGTGTGTGTGTGTGTGGGTGGCCCGGAGGACAGGAGAAAGTGCAGCTAATTAATTAAATAATTTGGTTCTGTATCTTTCTCTTCAGCACAGCCGACAAAGGTTTAAGATGGGTCAGTCCTCCTGCATGCTCATATCATTCCCTTCCCTTGCTTGAAAAATGGTTCCAAAATGAAAGTTGAACCCACATCTTTTTATCTGTGAATTAAATGCTGTTCGGTGAGTCTCAAATAAAAATTTGGGCATCTTACTGTAAAAAAATATACCATTAATGTAAAAAAGAAACTCGTCGTTTGTATCTGTAATAACTATATGCTTGATCACAGCTGAAACAACGTTCAAAGAACGGTTTGGAGGGCTATGCCTGAGCGTGAACGCGCATGAAGCAGCCTGCTCGACCCGAGCAGCTCTCTTTCTGTGATTTTACAGAAAAACGGGCAATCACTGTAAAAATGCCAGGGCTCATTCTACAGGACCAGGGCATTGCAGGAGAATGTATGAAGAAGAAATTTATTATTTCTATACATGTTTTGGCTGTCAAACTTCCATAATGCCCCTTTAAAAGTACTCTAGGGGGGTTGGGGTTAGTTACAGCCTGGTAGCTATGTATGATAAAGTATCTATACATGTTCATTATAATGATATATTTGAGTTAACAATGTTTTCCTGTCCTTTCTTAATCCATTATGAACACAGACTACAGTGAAATCTGCTGATGCATCCATGCTGCTCAGTACCAGAACTGCACTAGATACCAAAAGAACCAATCAGCTGGCAGAGCTCCCTAGTGAACGTGTGAGCTGCAGAACTTGCAAAACTACGTGACTCAATTTAAGGAACCAAGTAGAATCCAGCTGCTGTTATTTATTTGTTGTTTACAGAAACTAAATGTATCTGCAGGGCTTTAGGCCCAGGGCAGTTTTAGACCTCAGACCAGCTTTAGATCATGACCTGTTATTATTAATATCATGATCTTTACACCAACCTGAATATTCTGTAATGTTCACAGACATCCAAACCTTTGAAATGAAATATAATCAATATTAAAATGATTATTAATATCATTTTTTCATTAAAATTAGTTATCTGTTATACTTATTTATATTTGATAGTAATATGATTAATAATATTTAATCTTATCTTCTATCATTTGTGGGTTTAGTGCATTCACATAATATTAATTATAAAATTATAAATAACAGGTCACTAGTCTGGGCATAGAAAGTGTTTCTAGGAACTAACGCTTGTTCAGCAGCTCACCTGTTCCACTGACAGGAGAAATCCTCTCATCAGCAGGTGATCAGCACAGCAGAGTGTCATGACTGAACACCGGCCTGAAAAAAACAGACGACTAAAAACACTGACCTCAGATCGGCCCGCCGGGAATTTGGGTCCTGGTTACGCTCATCACGTTAACTCTCATTGTGATATCAGAGCTTTATTGGCTCTGTTATGGGCCATTCCCATCTGTACCGGGTCGGCCCGGGCCGGGTAGCGTAGGTTGTTTACATATCTGGGTGGCCTGGTATTTTTCCGGGCCAACCAAGGCTCATTCTCAGCCCTCTTCTCGAGGGGGTCTGCTTCAGGCCGACCAGGGCCAACACACCCACTGCTGACAGCAAATTCACACCTTCCATTAGAGCAAGCCTCTGATTGGTGGGTAGAATCAGCCCACATGGGCTTAAGACGAGGATGTGTGGAATCAACCGGGCCAGGCTGGGGCCGACTGGGGCTACCCGGCCCGGGCCGACCCGGTACAGATGGGAATGGCCCATTCGAATCCCAGCGCTAGGTGCGCACGCTGTTTGTGCGCACCGCGGGAGCAAGCAATGAGTGCGCATGTTTTTGCAGCGGTGCAGAACGATGGAGAAACGCGTTTCAATCAGCAACAGGAGAGAGCGAGTGAGAGACACCACTAAACCCAAGCGAGCGCGAGAAGAGATTTTGACAGAACTTTTTTCTGATTCTTCCAACTGACGGATTTCCGTCGCCACGACGGAAAACTTTAAACCCTGCACTAAACCCTGAGAGAGACGCTGACTGCAGAAGCAGAAGTGCTAAATAAAACTTGTGGTTGAAAGCTGGCGTGCGGTGTTTTCACATCGCCTTTTTGATGCATGTGGGCTGCTGTACCATGCAATACCTGCTCTGACCTGTGTGGCGCTACCGAGTCTTTTTTACACACGGAGCTTAATGCCAATAAATAAATATAGCAGGTATTTTAATTAAACGACACACTCAAACGTGTGATTTCAACAGATTTTTAATCATGGAGGGAACATGTTAAAGGTTAATCAACTTCTGTTTGGATTCAAGCTAAAATCATCTGCTGAAGCTCAAATTAAACCCCCTGTAGCTAAAAGATCAGTCACCTGTGTCAGAATAAGATCCACACGACAAAGCATCACACAGGTCTGAGGTGGTGTAGAAATTTTAAAAGGTTTGATTCCTGGGTGTCTGAAGAGACTCATCCTATACAAAAGAGTTAGCATGAACTTGCTGAATTTTACATCCCTGTTAAACCTACACAATGGAAACAAAATCCTAAAAAGATCTCACGGACACACAGCATCAAACATGTAAAGCCACTCGTTTGTATTTAAGACTAGAAATGTGTGAGCAGGTGGAACATCTCGCGGTCAGAAACACAAAACGTCTCCCAGAGACCTCAAAGCTTGGAGATGCAGCCTCAAAGTGTCAAATCTTTGATCTAAAAGAAGTCCAGTCACACCAGTAGTCAGTCAGGTCAGTGTGTGTGTTGTCTGGGCTAAAGCTAAAGAACCATCCTGGTTGTTAAACATCAAGCATATTCCCTACTATCTCACACAGAACAAGTTATTTTTAGGGACCAGCAGCGATTGGTTCACTAGTTCTGAATGCATCTGGTCTGGCGTTGTCTTAAAGCATCATTTCAGTATGAAATCATCATTTTGGTCATTTCTTACAGTTAAACTAAAAGGGAATGAGACAAACAGCTTCTTCAGTAACTAAGAAACCCGACAGTCTAAATAAACTCCAGCCCTTCGTACTTCACGTCTCCTATCTTGGTCTCGGGCATCACCTCGCGACCGTCCAGCGTCAGTCCGATCATGTAGGTGGCGATCCTGCCGGCGTCTTCTTCCGACTTAAGAGCTAAGATGAGCTGATCGTCCGTGCCTGGAACAAATTTGAATGAAGAGAAGCCGTGGGTGGGATTCAAAGGTCCAACGCACTGCGTGGTGACATGGCTGAAGTCTGTGGGGCAGGACAGTAGGAGGTTGGTAGCACGACGCTCATCTGCTGTCTCGTCATAGCGCTCGTGACTGGCACGGCGGGGCAGGAAGAACCAACGCTGGAGATGCTCGCTCCAAGCTGCAGATTCATGGATAAGGTAGCCTGTAGGAGAAGACAAAGGTGCATGGAGACAGCAGGACGGTGCAGTCGCTCCAAACCAGAAGAAGTACAGGATGTACTTTTTACTACTATACTACTGGAACCCCCCAAGGCACTTTACAACACACTCATTCACACCCAGGTGAGGATGAGCTACGATGTAGCCACAGCTGCCCTGGGGCATACTGACAGGTGAGTCTGCAGAGCACTGGCGCCACCGGTCCCTCCGACCACCACCAGCGGGCATGGGGTTAAGTGTCCTGCCCAAGGACACAATGACAGCGACAAACTAAGCGGGGCTCGAACCTGCAACCTTCTGATTACGGAGAATCTAAATAGAAACAACACAGCAGCCCAGAAAAGTTAAACTCATTCACTGTCAATGACGACTAATGTTGTCGTTTGCATTTTTTACTGTGTGGGCGTCGGACGAGCCCCCGCACCGTGAGAACAAACATCTCAGCTCTAAAGCCGATCTTAATCCGCGTATGTCACACGTCACGTGATCAGGAAGCAGAACTTCATGTGTTAGGAGATCGTTTTGGGCCGCTGCTGTAAAAAAGTGAGGCGCGAACTGGAAAAGCTTCTGCAGATCACAATTCAACAACGGATTATGAAAGAACGGATAAAGCTCGAAACGCTCGGATTCTTCCTGATGTAAGAAGTGAGTCTCCGCTTTGTTTTGGTCGTTTTGGCGTCGACATCATCCTAGCGCGCAACGTTCTGTGACTCTTAAAAAAAAGTGAAAACACTGTCAGCGAAGGGCTTTACTGATCATGAAACGGCTGGCAGTGGATGAGTTAAGGACCTCACTGTTGCGGCACGAGGAAATCCTAAATTCTCAGTTTTGCATCATATTTGGTGTTCTAGTCAAGTGTGAAAAACACTCAAACATCCTCAAAGAAAACGAACATGTAAATATGTTTACTTGCCAATTTGATTAGGTTTACTCCTGTAGCAGCTCTTCTCTGCTTTTATAGCAGCGCTGTTTTTCTGTGTTCTGTTTAAAGCCTGATTTATACTTCTCCGTCTGTGTGGGTGCACACAGGCAACGCCATTATGCGTTGGCACTAGAGCTCTCTGACGGGCTTGCAGAGGTTGAAGGCAACATGCCCAACTTTTTAACTATCCGTCAAAAGTGACAGAGACCGCAAGCTTGTGATTGGTCAGGACACGGCTGTCTTTACCTTCCTCAACAGCATCGCCATTGCTGCCTCAAAAAATAAAAAGATAGCCAAACATATCTAGGGGCAGATTGAAGAACATCTTGAGGAAAAAGTCCAAAAATCGGAACGTTTATTCACGTGTTACTGAAGGAGAACAAAGGAAAGCAGCAAGCATTTTATTCGTGAACCGAAATGATGGAAACCGTGGGTTTAGAGATGGCCAGCGCACAAAGAGGTGGAGGAGAAGGAGGGAGAAACTTGTTTGTGTTTGGAAATACATTAAAACAGAATAAAGACAACAGTAAATACACAAATGTACCTTACATCAGCCTTAAGTAACTAAAATGCCAATCAACAACATAAAACAATATCTGCAGTGTCCTTAGAATGTAAACTCCAGATATTTAGTCTTTTAATCAGAAAAGTCTACCTGGTGGTTGGATCCCTGCGGCGCTCCGCAGGGCGTTGTAATAAGGCACCCAGTTTTCATGCTCCACTTGGCCCTGGTAGCCAACGACTTTCACCCACTCTGGGTTGTTGTTGACCACCTCCCCAGATGTCGTTGTCCACTCCTTCCCCAGGCCTCCTACAAACAGGTGCTCATCCTTCACTGCTAGCCACTCTGCCTTAAATCCTGCACAGTCAAAATGCACATGAAGATCTCATCTCCTTACGTTTGGCTTTCTAGTTTAACTAACAATCACAAGCCTAAAGACTGACCTTTAGAGACAGAACCGTCTCCATCGGGTAATATAACCCAGGGGATGGCTTGGTTTCCCTCAATCCTGTACACAACACCTGTACGGTCGTCCACACTGTACAGGTGACCGTTGAACACCACAAGCTCTGACAGCTCCATACCTGAAGATGATGGTTACATCACATATTAAAAGGAACCAACAAACACGAATGAGATGGGTCTGAATCAGGTGCACATACCTCGTCCCTTCTCGGCCAGATGGCTCTCCAGAGTGACCATGTCAGGGTCCCATTCCACCTCCAGTCTGTCGGCGCTCTCTGAAACAGTCAGGAATCCTCGTCTCATGTAGCTAAACCACGTCTGATCCTTGGAGCTCTGTGACGCTGTGTCCAGGTCTGCAATAACTCCTATACGATAGCGAACGCCATCTCGAGTCTTCTCTGGAGGACTTAATGGATACGTGTGATTGTAAGGCTTTTCTGTTTTCTGATGCCCAGTGAGTCGTTGTCCAGTTGCACTAAAAACGTCCCCTGAAGATCTCATCAGCCCTGTTGGACATCTAAAAGCTACGAACCCTGTTCCTTGAGAACCTTGTTTTTCATCCCCTGCTGGTCGGTGCAGATATATCATCAGCACTAAAGCCAGCAGGGTGGTCACCATTATTGCTCTCCATCTCGGATGGAAGCGTAAATCTGAGACAACAGTCTGTGGTAAGGACGCCAAGGCCAGTGGGAGGCCTCGGACACCGACTCGAAAAGAGTTCATGGAGGCATTGATGTCCTCCTCAGGGTTAGGTGACATCTTGGGATCAAACCCACTACCATCTGGAAAAACACAATCACAAAGAAAAATGTCAAACATTCACTTGGACTAATTTATTGTTTTTAAAAACACAATCTTTGGGCATTTGAAGCACTTTAGTTTGAATAAACCAGAGGAAACAACAGACGGAGACACAGAGATCTAACTGATAAATGGTCTCTTGTTCCTTTTGTTCTTTATTCAAAGCTGAACCATGTTGGTTGTGCAGCTCACAGCCGGGACGTTCAGAGCCAGAACCATGCAGCACAAATAAATACTGGTTGCTTCGTTCAGCAGGGACAACTGGACTTTACTGCATTTTTACCAAACTTTACTGTAAATGGTTTTAAAATCAGCTAGTTTAGTTCAGAGGTCTGCAACCGGGGGCTCTTCTGTTTTTATTTGATCATTTTAACAGTTTTACCATCGACCTTATTTTACAAAAACAGCAAGACATTTCCATAATACTTTATTTTCATTTCAACACCAGAACTGGATAAAAACAGCTGGAGTTAAATTGGGTTTCCGGGTAACGGTTTGTTAGGCTTTCCCTACTCTGGTCACACCGCTTTCTGACATTCAGGATGTTTTACTTTAAATCCACCACATAAATGAACAGTTTTTAAAAAATTGTTCCAAAGAAATACAAAAGCAGAAACTAGGTTTACCTAATTATTGAAATTCAGGACATTTTATTTATGTTTATTAATCTGCAGACGCTTTCATCCAAAGCAACGTCCAAGGGCGTGCTGTGATCTGTGGGGGAACCGGAGGAAACTCAAGCATGCACGGGGAGAACACGCAACTCCACGCAGAAAGGCCGCAGTCGGGTTTTCAACCTGCAACCCACTTGCTGCGAGGCAACAGTGCTAACCACTGCACCACCATGTAGACACTTTAAGACATAAATTACCAACAGTAGACAAGAGCAGTCATTTTTGGGACTGAAAGAAAAAAAATCCTATATTAAATGTGCTATATGCTAAAATCAAGTGAGAACATATTCTCCTGTGGTACGGAGAACATACTCCTGTGGTACGAGAACGTACTCCTGTGGTACAGAGAACATACTCTTGTGGTACGGAGAATATACTCTCCGGTGGTACGGAGAACGTACTCCTGTGGTATGGAGAATGTACTCCTGTGGTACAGAAAACATACTTCTGTGGTACGGAGAACGTACTCTTGTGGTACGGAGAACATACTCTCCGGTGGTACAGAGAACATACTCTCCGGTGGTACGGAGAACGTACTCTCCGGTGGTACGGAGAACGTACTCCGGTGGTACGGAGAACATACTCCTGTGGTATGGAGAACATACTCCTGTGGTACAGAGAATGTACTCCTGTGGTACGGAGAATATACTCTCCGGTGGTACGGAGAACGTACTCCTGTGGTATGGAGAATGTACTCCTGTGGTACAGAAAACGTACTCCTGTGGTACAGAGAACGTACTCCTGTGGTACGGAGAATGTACTCCTGTGGTACAGAAAACGTACTCCTGTGGTACAGAGAACGTACTCCTGTGGTACGGAGAACGTACTCTTGTGGTACGGAGAACGTACTCTCCGGTGGTACGGAGAACATACTCCTGTGGTACGGAGAACGTACTCCTGTGGTACAGGGAACGTACTCCGGTGGTACGGAGAACATACTCCTGTGGTACGGAGAACATACTCCTGTGGTACAGAGAACATACTCCGTTGGTACGGAGAACATACTCCTGTGGTATGGAGAACATACCCCTGTGGTACGGAGAACATACTCTCCGGTGGTACGGAGAACATACTCTCCGGTGGTACAGAGAACGTACTCCTGTGGTATGGAAAACGTACTCCGGTGGTGCGGAGAACATACTCCGGTGGTACGGAGAACATACTCCTGTGGTACAAAGAACGTACTCCTGTGGTATGGAGAATGTACTCCTGTGGTACAAAGTACGTACTCCTGTGGTATGGAGAATGTACTCCTGTGGTACAGAAAACGTACTCCTGTGGTACAGAGAACATACTCCTGTGGTACGGAGAACGTACTCTTGTGGTACGGAGAACATACTCTCCGGTGGTACAGAGAACATACTCTCCGGTGGTACGGAGAACGTACTCTCCGGTGGTACGGAGAACATACTCCTGTGGTACGGAGAACGTACTCCTGTGGTACAGGGAACGTACTCCGGTGGTACGGAGAACATACTCCTGTGGTACGGAGAACATACTCCTGTGGTACAGAGAACATACTCTGTTGGTACGGAGAACATACTCCTGTGGTATGGAGAACATACTCCTGTGGTACGGAGAACATACTCTCTGGTGGTACGGAGAACATACTCTCCGGTGGTACAGAGAACGTACTCCTGAGGTATGGAAAACATACTCTCCGGTGGTACGGAGAACATTCTCCAGTGGTATGGAGAACATACTCCTGTGGTACGGAGAACGTACTCCGGTGGTACGGAGAACATACTCCTGTGGTAAGAAGAACGTACTCCTGTGGTACGGAGAACATTCTCTCCAGTGGTACGGAGAACGTACTCCTGTGGTACGGAGAACATACTCCGGTGGTGCGGAGAACATAGTCCAGTGGTACGGAGAACATACTCCAGTGGTACGGAGAACGTACTCCTGTGGTACGGAGAACATACTCCTGTGGTACGAAGAACGTACTCCTGTGGTACAGGGAACGTACTCCGGTGGTACGGAGAACATACTCTTGTGGTACGGAGAACATACTCCTGTGGTACAGAGAACATACTCCGGTGGTACGGAGAACATACTTCTGTGGTATGGAGAACATACTCCTGTGGTACGGAGAACATACTCTCCGGTGGTACGGAGAACATACTCTCCGGTGGTACAGAGAACGTACTCCTGTGGTCCGAAAAACGTACTCCTGTGGTACGGAGAACATACTCTCCAGTGGTACGGAGAACGTACTCCTGTGGTACGGAGAACATACTCCGGTGGTGCGGAGAACATACTCCGGTGGTACGGAGAACATACTCCTGTGGTACGGAGAACGTACTCCGGTGGTACAGGGAACGTACTCCGGTGGTACGGAGAACATACTCCGGTGGTACAGAGAACGTACTCCTGTGGTACGGAAAACATACTCTCCGGTGCTACGGAGAACATACTCCTGTGGTATAGAGAATATACTCCGGTGGTACGGAGAACATACTCCTGTGATACGGAGAACGTACTCCTCTGGTACAGAGAACGTACTCCGGTGGTACGGAGAACGTACTCCGGTGGTACGGAGAACATACTCCGGTGGTACGGAGAACCTACTCCTGTGGTACGGAGAACGTACTCCTGTGGTACGGAGAACATACTCCTGTGGTACGGAGAACATACTCCTGTGATACGGAGAACATACTCCTGTGATACGGAGAACATACTCCTGTGATACGGAGAACATACTCCTGTGGTACAGAGAACGTACTCCTGTGGTACGGAGAACATACTCTCCTGTGGTACGGAGAACATACTCTCCGGTGGTACGGAGAACGTACTCCTGTGGTATGGAGAACGTACTCCTGTGGTATGGAGAACGTACTCCTGTGGTACGGAGAACATACTCTCCTGTGGTACGGAGAACATACTATCCGGTGGTATGGAGAACATACTCATGTGGTACGGAGAACGTACTCCTGTGGTACAGAGAATGTACTCCTGTGGTACGGAGAACCTACTCCTGTGATACGGAGAACGTACTCCTGTGGTACGGAGAACATACTCTCCTGTGGTACGGAGAACATACTATCCGGTGGTATGGAGAACATACTCATGTGGTACGGAGAACGTACTCCTGTGGTACAGAGAATGTACTCCTGTGGTACGGAGAACATACTCCTGTGGTACGGAGAACGTACTCCGGTGGTACAGGGAACGTACTCCGGTGGTACGGAGAACATACTCCGGTGGTACAGAGAACGTACTCCTGTGGTACGGAAAACATACTCTCCGGTGCTACGGAGAACATACTCCTGTGGTATAGAGAATATACTCCGGTGGTACGGAGAACATACTCCTGTGATACGGAGAACGTACTCCTCTGGTACAGAGAACGTACTCCGGTGGTACGGAGAACGTACTCCGGTGGTACGGAGAACATACTCCGGTGGTACGGAGAACGTACTCCTGTGGTACGGAGAACGTACTCCTGTGGTACGGAGAACATACTCCTGTGATACGGAGAACATACTCCTGTGATACGGAGAACATACTCCTGTGATACGGAGAACATACTCCTGTGGTACAGAGAACGTACTCCTGTGGTACGGAGAACATACTCTCCTGTGGTACGGAGAACATACTCTCCGGTGGTACGGAGAACGTACTCCTGTGGTATGGAGAACGTACTCCTGTGGTACGGAGAACATACTCTCCTGTGGTACGGAGAACATACTATCCGGTGGTATGGAGAACATACTCATGTGGTACGGAGAACGTACTCCTGTGGTACAGAGAATGTACTCCTGTGGTACGGAGAACCTACTCCTGTGGTACGGAGAACGTACTCCTGTGGTACGGAGAACATACTCTCCTGTGGTACGGAGAACATACTATCCGGTGGTATGGAGAACATACTCATGTGGTACGGAGAACATACTCCTGTGGTACGAGAACGTACTCCTGTGGTACAGAGAACATACTCTTGTGGTACGGAGAATATACTCTCCGGTGGTACGGAGAACGTACTCCTGTGGTATGGAGAATGTACTCCTGTGGTACAGAAAACATACTTCTGTGGTACGGAGAACGTACTCTTGTGGTACGGAGAACATACTCTCCGGTGGTACAGAGAACATACTCTCCGGTGGTACGGAGAACGTACTCTCCGGTGGTACGGAGAACGTACTCCGGTGGTACGGAGAACATACTCCTGTGGTATGGAGAACATACTCCTGTGGTACAGAGAATGTACTCCTGTGGTACGGAGAATATACTCTCCGGTGGTACGGAGAACGTACTCCTGTGGTATGGAGAATGTACTCCTGTGGTACAGAAAACGTACTCCTGTG